TGTTCTTGCCTTTTCTGCTTCCTTTGATCCTCATTTCGGTGTCTTCTACCATTGTTGTTGATGAGTTTCAGTTAGCTCAGTGATAGCTTCTTCAGACTCTTATTCAGTTGAAGATAACAATTAATACATGGCATTATTGGGGTCATGATCAGACTCCCTTTACCACAGCCATATGTTCTATGTAATGCTTAGTTTTCATAGTGTGAACCTAAATGACAAACACATATATATACTCCATTCACTGCTCTAGTCCTATCCGAGACAGGATGTGTCACTTCATTTGTACTCCTATGTTGCTATGATACTGAGTGCCACTGAGCTGTCACCATGACAACAATCATGTACCTCATTGTGCTTCTTGCTTAAGTAAGCCTCCTGTGCCTCAGTGTCTCAGCCGTGACATGTGCATCTTGCTTGAGATGCCGACGCATCTTCAACTGAATTTGAACCCCCCCCAAGGAAAAGCAGGTTTCCAAAAACACGATGAAATCATATGGCCGATAAAATACATAACCTAACAGTGAGCATATGTTACTTGTTGCTCCTGTTGCTATTACCCATTGCTTGCTTATATCTTGCTTTCCTCTTCACACAATGCACTCACTGTAATGTTTCATATGGTGGTGAGAAGAATTGTATTCATCAGAAGAAGAGAGAGTGCCTGTCAGATCAAGAATGGTTGTGTCAAGACTTGCTCCTGTCTCTGAGCTGAAGTGCTTTGAGTCATGGCATTGTAGTCCACAGTAGTCCTCTCATGATGTCGAGACAATGCAGTAGTGTCTTCCTCATTGCGCCCAGTTGATCTGAACAGTGCCTGGAACAAACCCTCTCGAAGATCATTGTCAGGGGTCACGCGCCTGAAACCTGGGTCTGCTCATCGTTCGGCAACTATCAAGTTGTGCAACAGCTATTGACTTGTGTGATGACAGCTAGTGGTGTTTGATATGAATGATGTATGCTATTGCAGGTCTCGACTGACCGCTGTGGACACTCTGTCCAGAGGTAGCTCAGCACGATCAATATCAATATGAAGGTTATGGTGACACCAAGGTCTGGTGTGAGTGTTCTTGTTGGTGATGAGGTTGGTGGTGTTGATGATAAGGTTGGTGGCATCGACACAAGTGTCCAGTGTGTCGACTAGTGCTTGAGGTGATCCCTGGACCACAGTGGACTACTGCCTTTGGTTCTATCTAAATCCAGACTGCTGGTTTGCTATGAACTGCCTTTGGATGTCAGTGAGTGGTGATACAACACACACACTACAATGAGGAGCAACCTTGATAGATTGCTACTATGCTGACTGTAACTAATGTATACTTATGCTGAAGTGATAACTAGTTATATGGTGTGTAGAGTGGATGAGGATCCACTCAACCACTGATGATGAGAAGGTATGGTTATATACTGTCAGGGGTCTCGCGCCTGAAACCCAGGTCGGTCTGTCGAGATACTCAGTGACTATCAAACTGTGCGACAGCTATTGTCTCGGTATCAGTGACTATCAAGTTGCACAGTGACAACAGGTGGCATTCATTGTATATACTATTGTAGGTTTCGGCTGACCTCTGTGGACACTCTGTTCAGGGGTAGCTCAGCACAATCAATATCAATGCTTCGGTTATGATGACACCAAGGTCTGGTGTGAGTGTTGATGATGATGAGGTTGATGACATTGGTGATAAGGTTGGTGAGTGTTGATGATAATGAGGTAGATGGTGTTGGTGGTAAGGTTGGTGGCATCAACACGAGTGTCCAGTGTGTTGACTGATGCTTGAGGTGATCCCCGGACCACAGTGGACTACTGCCTTTGGTTCTAACTATATCCAGACTGCTGACCTGCTATGGGTTGCCTTCGGACATCAGGTAGTGGTGATACAACACACACACTACGATGAGGAGCAACCTTGATAGAATGCTGCTATGCTGACTGAAACTAATATATACTTATGCTGAAGTAATAACTAGTTATGATGTGTGTAGAGTGGATGAGGATCCACTCGACCTTTGATGATGAGAAAGCATGGTTATATACCTCTTCACAGCATTGCCAGTGATGCTGCTCCTGCTCTCTCTCCAGAGAGTACCTTCTTCATCGAGTACTGCTCAGGGGCCTCTCCTGCTTGGCGCCCCTGTGCCTCTTGAGTGGTGTCGACTCCTTTGACACTGCTCCTCCTCCTCATGACCTGGTGTCGACTCCCTCGACACTGCTCCTCCTCCTCATGACCTGGTGTTGACTCCCTCAACACTGCTCCTCTTCCTCAGGACCTGCTTGCCAGTGTCCTATGACTCTTGTCTCTCGAACCCCTGAGTGGTAACCATCTGAGCTTGGTCCTCCTCGTGGCTGTGCCTGGCCCTCCTCGCATGTGGCTCGGTTCTCCTTTGCATGTGAGTCCATAGGAGTCCATGGTCTCCATGGAGACTGCACTACGACCATGCCCTCTACTGGTATCGACTAGATCTTCGATACCTGTGCTCCTTCCATATGAACCAGTGACCCTCCTGCTTCTTGAGCATCCAGGCCCATGACATCTGCATGATGCTGAGCTCAGTCCCCTGCTCCTACATGTGGTTATCTCTGTATGCTTCTCCTTCTCATGCCAGTACCTTCCTTCCTGAATCTCCTGGTACTTGCTCATATTGGCTGACTTGCTGAGGCATGCTGATCTGGCTGATTCTGATTGATCCTTGTGAGATTAACCTGGAACCCAGAGTTTGGTTGATCTTGTAAATCATATGTGCTACCAGCCTGATTAGCTTTGTTGATTCCCAATGATTTGGTGCCAATCAATTTGGTGCCCCCTTCATATGTTGATCCACTGACCCTGTGACATTACCATGAATGCTGTCAGTCAATTTGGCACACCCTTCATATGCTGGCCTGCTGGCCTTGTGACAGCCCCCTCCTTCATCAGGGTGGTGAACCTAATGCTCCCACTATCTTGCCCTGCTGAGATGTCCATGCAGTCAGCACCCACATGAGATCCATTGTATGATCATGATATTATGGATCCTGGTGGAATTTGTGATACATTCCTTGTTTGTACCAATCTGGATGAGATCTGTAATAGAGCCCTCTCTTCTACAGATCTCAATGAACTCTGTTGCAAAACCCTTGATCTGCCCAATCCTCGATTCCTGTGCTCCTCCTCATGAGGCTTCCACTTCTCATAAGTCTTCTGCTTCTGCGCTTCGGGTCCTATGGCACCACACTCCTTAAAGTTCTGGATGGTCTTGTGAACTGCTGTCTTGGAAACACCACTTAGCTCTGTGATTTGTTGAATTGGCAGCCCAGTATCATGCATTGCAACAATTGAAGCATGCTGCATTGGAGAGAGCTCATTGCCACAGACCACATTGGTGTTTGAAGTGTTCTTGCTTAGTATGATGGTAGTGCTATTGCTCAATGATGATGACAACCTGAATGCAGGGTATCTGGTTAAATTGGGAAATTACCCAATTGTCCTCAAACTTACACACAGGGTCTGTACGATACAGTGCCTCAGACCTCACTGAAGGCTTGCCGCATTGTCACAGTCGATGTCGATTGTCGAAAGCTTACTTATGGTGTCGCTTGACGATGCTGCGTGTGAGGGTTGAGCAAGGGAACAGGTGTCAGTCAAAACGAAAAACGGCGTCAAGCCTGATCTGTGGTTGCTGTGCTAGAAAACTCCTGAGAGTGTCCACTGGCAGTGCGGCTGGCAGAGTCTTCTGTCCCGATTGATATTTGCAAATCGGCGATATCGTGTATTGAGCTTTTCGCCAGCTCTGATTAATTCAAGTCAGCCTGGAGCAAGTTAATTTGTTTTTGGAGGGCACTGTATTTCTCACTTCAAGAGAAGAGACACCGAAGAAGGGGATTTTTTGAAATGAGCTTAAGAGTGTTCAGAAAAAGGGAATACAATGTGAATATGTCCAGGACACCGATCAGAGGAAAAGGAAAAAGGCAAGAAAGCAAGGGCCAATGAAAGCGAGGCGCCAACCAAGTTTGCGCAACCGCCGCCAAAAGTACCGCCCGACATAGCTGAAATACCGTAGTCAAGCGCGGCAGAATGAAGGCAAAATCTGTGCGGTGGGCAGTTGCAATTAGGAAAATGGCTTACAGTCGAGCTTGTCCGTGTGCCTGTGGTGTGTGTGAACAAGTCAATATTCCCATCCAAGGCTGGAAGCAGACAGAAGTGAGAAAGAGAGAGCCAGAGAGCGTGTGAGCAACTTCAAGATGTGTGTGTGTGTGTGTGTGAGTGTGAGTTGTGAGTGTAAGTGTGAGTGTGAGAGCTAGAGCTGCCGACCCTGTGTCAGTCAGTTGGTCGGTCAGTCAAGTCAAGTCAGGTTCAGCAGTCTTTCTTTTCGAGGTGGGGCCGGAGTCCATCAAAGTGCACATTTTTGCCTTCACTATCGTCGACTATCTTCACCCTCTCATCACCCCCCGACCTTTTTCTCGACAACTCATTCCTTTTGTCCAAGTCTTCAACATTGCCTCGTTCCAGCAATTTCGACTGTCCGTGTTTCATTTCAGGCAGGCAGGCAGGCAGGCAGGCAGCGGCTCTTCACACCAGCAAAGCGAAGAGATTCAACATCGGCATCTCAGCTATTGTCGATCCTTGTCTCCTCGTTGAGTGCTGGTCATATTCTGCCGTTGCTGCCGCCTATATTGCAAACGACTCTTGTTATCGGCTTCGACACAGCAACATAGCAACGCCTTGCTTCGACCCTTTCGTCTTGTTTACGAATCGTGTCTCGGACTGAAACTTTCGCTTTCCGGAGATAGACTCATCGAATCGGAGTATCCATTCATCTCGCTTCAGCAACAGAAGGGAAAGTCGCGCTTCTGCTCGCATCCTCTTATGACTCCTCGAGACTGCCGAACTTCTAGTTCTTTCTGTTGGTATCAATCTTGATCAGCGTCGCAGTTTTCACCACGCTCGAGTTCGACGCACAGCTCAGCCACCACTTTATCGACATCTTAGGACGTCAGTTCATTGGTTCAATCTGTCACGGAGGAGATGGCCAAGTCCAAGCTGCCTCGATCAACACCAGCGGCGCGTGCAGCAGCTGTGCCTCCCCCTAAGCTGGCCGCTGCTGCCCAACAACAGCAGCAACAACAGCAGCAGCAGCAACAACAGCAGCAGCAACAACAGCAGCAACCTCAACAACCAGCAGCGCAACAACCGCCTCAGCCACACGCTCCATCATCACCGGCCCCGATGCAGCAACCCAAAGCGCCCGTTGCTGGCGCATCCACGCCACCACGATCTGTATCGCCTGTCTCCAATCATGATACAGACAATGCTGCTCTCTCTTCTGCTAAGAAGAAGAAGAAGAAGTCCAAGTCCAAAGCCAAGGACTCTGACTTCATCGACGACCACGAGTACGATCTTCGTTCGGCCGCTGCCCTTGGTCAGCGTCCTCGCTCGCCTGCATCGCTTGCAGCGAGGGCACAGGCTCAGGCACAGCTCTTGGCTGCAGCCAGCGAGCTGTACCGAAGAATCGAGGGCGACGCTCAAGGGATCCCAGACGATGATGCCTACTGGACGTCTCTGCCTGCTCATCTCAGAACCTTCATACGCAACGCCCTCCCGCTTGGTCAGTTCCCACCTGCAGCACAGGCTGCTCTCAACGAGAACGCCAATGATCCAGCCAACCGCCACGCATCGACTCAGGCCATGATCGCTGTTGCCCAGCAGCTTGCTCAGGCAGCCCATGCATCTCAGCGCCACCTACAGCAGTACCCACCCGGAACTCATCCGTACCCACCACTGCCCTTTGATGCGTCCATCTTTGCCGATCTCGCTCTTCATCCTGATCAGGCACTGCCCCTTCACCCTCACCCGAATGCTGCTAACAACGTACACCCTGCCTCCAACGGCTCGTACGCTCAGTATGCGTCGAGTCCAAATCCGCCTCCTACCCAGCCACCTGGTGGCCCCTTACCAGACCCCGTAGTCCTGTACGACAACTTCGACGATGAGATCGAGCGTTACGACGATGACGGCGAGGATGGGGCTCAGTACTACGATGATGGTGAGCTCGACGAGGACGACGAAGTGCTTGATGCCCAAGGCGGTCTTCTCCGTGCCCGTGAGCGTGTCTGGATGCAAGATGGCTCCGACCACGCCCACGGTCCCAACGGCATCCTTCATCCAGATGGACAGCGTTCTGCGAGCAAGAACAAAAAGAAGAAGAAAAAGAAGAAGAGTGGTGCCGGCGGCGCAGCCGGAAACGGCGACGAACACGCACACGAGATTGAAGTCACAGTGCCTCCTCCGCCCAAGCCTGTGCCCAACCACCCGCCTCCGACCACCAATGTTCCTTCGGTTGCTCGCAACTCCAATCCACCTCCAAGTTCACGAGCCGCAGGCAAGCAGCCCATGACCTTCAACTCGACGGGCAAGACGCCAGCGAGGCCCGCAAACGGTGTACCACCCTCATCTAACTCGGGCAAGCGCTCTGTCTCGTCCTCGACGCACGGTCAGCAGCCAGCTGCCCACGCCTCGTCCAACAACGCCAAGATCTGGTCCACCAGTTCGGCAGAGGAGCGTGAACGCATCAAAGAGTTCTGGCTCGGCCTTTCGATGAAGGACAGACAGAAGCTCGTTCAAGTCGAAAAGGAAACTGTGTTGAAAAAGATGAAGGAGCAACAGAAATTCCTCTGCAGCTGTGCTGTTTGTGGTCGCAAGCGCTCTGCCATCGAAGAGGAACTCGAGGTTCTCTACGACGCCTATTACGATGAGCTTGAAGAGTACGCCAACCACCAACAGCGATGGGCGAGCAGCGGTGGCACCATTCCTCCACCGCCTGGACCAGGCCCTTTCCCTGGAAGCGTAGCGCTCGACGCATCGGGTGCAGTCATCGGAGGCGATCCTCTTACCAGGAACAGGGCAGCCAACGGCGGCCACGTCGGCAGACACACGCATCCTCACCCGCATGGTCGCAAGGCACCTCTACATGCCGAGTCCTCTGACGGTTATGATGACGACGGCTTGGACGATGATGCCGAGTACGAGGATGAGGATGACGATGCTGATTACGATGACGAAGAAGATGACGTTGAACTAGACAAGGATCGTGCACGCGACGACTATCCCAAACGCAGCTCTGTTCCCTCTACACGTCGACGCGGCACCAACGATGCCAAAGATCTCTTCGGTCTTGGAAGCAGCCTTACTGTCAAAGGTGGCATCCTCACTGTTGCCGATGACATGCTCAAGAATGACGGTCGCAAGTTCCTCGAAATGATGGAACAGCTCGCTGAGCGAAGGATGCACCGCGAGGAGCTCACCAACGCCGAGCTTGCTGCCAGCGACGAAGGGGAAGACGATGTTGAGGGCCCGGACGACGTCGACGTCGATGACGAGGACGAGGACGAGGACGAGGACGACGAGGAGGAAGACGAGGAAGACGACATTCTTACCGAAGAGCAACGCATGGAAGAAGGACGCAAGATGTTCCAGATCTTCGCCGCTCGTATGTTCGAACAGAGAGTCCTCGCCGCCTACCGAGAGCGTGTCGCGCAGGAGCGTCAGCTCCAGCTGCTTCGAGAACTCGAGGAGGAGGACACCAACGAGAAGGCTCGTGAAGCCCGTCGCATGAAGGAGTCGCAGAAGAAGAAGGACAAGAAGAAGCAGCAACGTGAAGCCAAAGAGGCTGAGAAGATGCGCAAGGACCAGGAACGAGCTGCTGCTGAGGCTGAGGAGCGTGTCAAGCAGCAAGCACAACGTGACGCTGAGCTCAAGAAGCAGGAAGAGATCCGTCTCCAGCGAGAAGCCGAGCGGAAAGCCAAGGAAGACGAAAAGGCCAAGAAGGAGGAGGAGCGCCGACGACGCCAGGCCGAAGAACGCGAGCGCGAGATGGAGCGCGAGCGGAAGCGCCGTGAGAAGGAGGAGAGGGCCCGCCTCGAACGCGAAGCACAGGAGAAAGCCAAGCGCGACCGCGAAGAGGCGCAACGTAAGGCCAGAGAAGAGCAGCAACGAGCACAACGTGAGAAGGCCGAAAAGGAACAAAAGGCCAAGGAAGAGCAAGAGCTCAAAATCGATGCTGCCAAGAAGGAGAAGGAGGCTCGAGCCCAGGTTCAGCGCGAGTCCAAGCAGGCTGCATCAGCTGGTTCACAGGCTCGCGGATCGGCTGCCGCTCAAGCTGTTCCCAGCTCGCCTTCGACCGGTCCCAAGGCTGTCTCCGCCAAGGCTACCTACGCACCAGCTCATGGGACACCTGCTCGTGGTGCCAAAAACGGTTCTATTCCTGGATCGCCAGCTGTTGCACAAGGCCAGGCTGCCGCTCGTGGTGCCAATGCGTCGCGTTCTGCCGGTGCCGGTGCTCCCAAATCTGCTCAGAATTCGACCTCAGGCAGCGCTGCTACTGGCGCTGCTCCAGCAGTCACTGCTTCTGCTACTGCTGCTCCTTTGACAAGCGGTGTCATTGCATCGACTCTGCCCGCTCCTCCTCAGGGATTGCCTCCTCGCCCCTCAACTGCCGTCCTCACGCCTGCCGGTTCTTCGTCGCAGGGCTCTTCTGTGTCCGTAGCAGCAAACGCAGGATTGCCGCGACCTCCTGTCAATGCTGGTTCCGTGTCGGCTGTACCACCAGCGCTTGGCTTCGGCTCGATCGCGCCCAATGCATCTGCCTCTGTCGCAGTACCCGTCTCGAAGGCGCCGGGTGCCAGCATTTCGCCAAAGCCAACTCAGGGTTTCGCTCAGGCACAAGACAAGCAGCCTTCACCAGTCGGCTTTGGCTCGCCTCGGCCTTCAAGCGGAGCCGCTTACTTGCAGCAGCCTGGTCTTGAGGGGCTTCGCTCGCCTACGCTACCCAACGGTATGCCCAGCAATGGCGTCTTTGGCAGCAAGGCCGGTATGAGCTCGAGTCTCCAATCTCCAGGCCTTGCTGGCCCTGGACTCGGTGGAATGGCGAACAACCTCGCCTCCTTCAACCTGAATGCTGCGCCTTTGTCCTCTTCTGCTCTCAGCATGGGAATACCAATGGTCGGCAGCAAAGCGTCTATGTCTGGCATGGAATCCAGCACTCCCGGCGGCACGCCTCATGGTCCCTCACACAGCAGCCTTGGTGGCAGCCTGCAGAGCCCGACGCAGACGCCATTCTCGCCTATGGGTGGAAGCAACACTGTCGACACCATGCGAAGTCGCACGGCATCGTTTGCAGACTCGGACCCGATGTCGGCCTTCGCGGGTATGCGGCCCGGTTCGTCGCTCTCCCAGCGCGTCCCCGCCTACCGATCTGGTGCACCGACCCCCATTGGTCCCATTGGCCGGCCAAAGACGCAGGATGCGAACCAACAGCATCTGCATGACGATCACGCCGGCGCCATTGGCAACGGTCGATCCTCGAGCAGTGCCAGTGGGTCCGGGGCTACAAGCCCCAGGCATCAGGAGGGCATCCTCGGAAGCTCCGCTCTTGGCGGTGACGACGACATCATCGATCCCAAACCTCGCAGGGTAAGCCACACGATTCCGATCGGCGGTGGTGCCAGCGGCAGCAACATGAGTGCTGGAGGATCCTTCTTCGGTGGGATGAGTAGTGCCGGTGCTGTCGGCGGTGGCTTTGGCGTGAGCTCTTCTTCGCCATGGAGCTCATTCTCGGGTAGCAACCAGGCCACATCTGGTCCATTGTCCCCTAGCTTCAATGGTGGTGCTCCCGGACCTGGCTCTATTGGTTCCAGCCTGGCATCGAGCAATTTTGGTCTTAATCAGAGCGCAGGCACATCCGGATTGGGCTCCAACCCACCTGGACTGTCGAGCGGTGCTCCATCAGACCCTTGGGCCCGTGTCTCCGCTAGTTGGGACCGCGCGCGCTATGCATTCGAGCAACCTGGTAGCAACAATGTCGGCGGATCTAGTGGAGCCAACCCAGCCGGTTTGGGTGGCATGGGAAGCTCGCTTCATGGCGGACCTCAGTCGCACCACGGACATGGACTTGGAGGACATTCCGGCCAACTTCACCATCCGATGGGACTGAACGGAGGACAGGGTAGCGGTAGTGGTCATGGCAACCTCAACGGCAACGCTAGTATGATGGGCGGCTTCAACTTGGGTGCACCTGGCAGTGGTGCTAGGAACCTCTTTGGCGCTCCTGGTAGCAATGCCTTGCATCCTGGTGCGATTGGATCGGCTCTTTCGCCTACTTCACCCGGCGCACGTCACATCAGTGGTAGTCACGAGTAGATTGTCTGGATCATCCACCATTCCTGTCTTTTGTGTGTTGTAGTGGCTTCTTTAACCTGGTTTGTCCTCAGCATCTTCTCATGCATCGAATCAGACAGTACAAGTTCAATTTTCTCTTTCACATTCCCTGTTGTTTGTTGCGCAGTTTTTGCATTAAATTTGTGGTGGTGAATTATGAAAGAAACTTGAGTCGTTTCGGTCCCGATACTGGTGATTGGGGAGAGTCTAAGTATGATGTCACTGCTAGTTTATAGACAGAACAAAATATACTCAATTGACTAGATAGCATTGTGAGGACCTAGTGTCCCCAGTTCAATATATATACAACTGTGTGATGAGTGATGAATGTGGGTGTATCTCCCTTCATGATATAGTATGGCAACAAGTGGAACTGCATTGCACCTGATCTCCAAGTTGATCCATCCCACAGGATCTCCAATCACATTTGAAATAATTTACATAATCATGTCTGATCATTCTCTTCATCACCCCCTCTTGATCCAGCATGTCTCTCAATTGTCATCAAGCCAATCATGTGTCTAAGATGTGAGAGTGTTGGTGCTGCAAGCAGTTTAGTCATGATGTCAGCTAAGTTGTTGCTGCTCTGGACTGGAGCAATCATGAGCCACTGACTTGTGATCTCGTCCTGCAAAAAGAAGTGAGCTATGTCGATGTGCTTTGTCCTTTTGAAATGTTGGGGATCATTTGTGATCACTCTTGCACCAGATGAATCGCTGTGCAATATAGGTACATTGCTGTCAAAGGTAAGTTCACCATCATGGGAGTGCAGGACAGATGTCCCTGCACTCACCTGTATTCTGCTCATCATCAACATGGGTTGCTCAAGTTTGTGTAGGAACATTGTCACCCATAATAGTTCCCTTGCTGCCCCCACTAATGCCACATATTCTGCCTCCACTGAACTGTTTGCTACCATTGGCTGGAGCTTGGATGACCAACTGCATACCAGCCCATCGATAGCAAAGACATATCCAGATGTCGATCTTCTGCAATCCCTTGAGCCAGCCCAGTCACTGTCAGCCCACCCTGTGAGCATTTGCCCCCCGACTGGTGTTGCTGCTGTGAGACTTACCTTTATGGTGCCCTTGAGATACCTTAGTATGTGTGTGGCTGCCATTAGGTGCTCCCTGGATGGGTTTGCCACAAAATGCACACACCTGCCAATGGCAAAGGCAATGTCAGGTCTACTGCCTTGCATGACCCATAACAATGATCCTATGAGCAATGCATAGTGTCGCACCTCTTCCACGCTCACTGTGTCACCTTCTCGCAGCCTGAGGTCATTTAGCAATTCAGTCCCTGGCATTGACACTGTCCAAGCTTTATCCATTCTGAATTTGGTCAGGATTCCTTTGATGTATCCACTCTGATTGATCGAGAGTGTGTGTTCTTTATGCTTGTACCTTACATTTAGCCTGATGATGTGGGAGATGTTCCCTTGATTGGTTATGCTAAACATGCTTGAAAGTTGTTGTTGCACTGCCTGGATCTGTGAGGTGGATGCTCTGATGACCAACAAGTCATCAACATATACTGCCAGGAGTACCATTGTGTTGCTAGAGCCTTGTGTATATACACATGGTTCTGCTTGGCAGCGCTTGAAACCGAAGGCTTGCAGCTGCTTGTCAAGTGCTGCATGCCATAAACATCCTGCTTGTTTGAGGCTGTATAACGCCTTCTTCAGCCTGTAGGACTTACCATCATTCTCCTTGGACTTGAATGTTGGGGGTATCCAGATGTGGACCTTTTTGTCAATTTTTCCATTCAGGAATGCAGTGCTAACATCGAGTTGACTAATGTGTAGTCTGTATCATCTAGTGAGGGTGAGCAGCATTCAGACAGTCTGTAGGCAAATGACTGGGCTAAAAGTCTGGTCATAGTCCAGGCCTTGGCATTGAGCATACCCTTGTGCAACCAGTCTGGCCTTGTACCTCGTTGCTTGCCATTGGGCATCCAGTTTGAGTTTGAACACCCAGTGGACACCTATGAGCTTTCCATCTGGCAGTATGTCTACTAGTTCAAAGACATCCATTTTGCTCATACTCACCATTTCATCAATCATTGCCTGGTGCCATTTGTTCCAGTCATTGCATGACTTTGCTTCGTTGAGTGAGAGCAGTTCTAGTAAAATTCCATCAGCACTGTGCAGTTGTTGACCACTGGTGACAAGTGCAGCCCTGTCCATTACCATCGCTGTGAATGCCATCTGTTCAAGGTGGTGGCTACCAAGTGGTGTCACTTGAGATTCGGAACAGTTTGTTGTGAAGGCCATGTAGCTGGGCAGCTCTGCAGGGTCAGGTGATGTTGTGCGATCAGACCCAAGCACTGAAACATTGTTGTATATGCTTGGGACCATGTCACTGTGGGGTGTTTGAAGCAGAGGTATGCCCCCAGGGTCCTCCAGTGATGTTGACAACTGGGGCATTCCCCCCCCTCGGTCGAGGCAGTGTCGAGCTTGGCATTCAGGTCAGCAGTGATCGCATCAAGGTCCACCACAATCTCTCCTGCTGCCTCAATAGCTGCCATCATTTGGTCCCAGTTGCGATCATAGCTAGATGAACTAGACGGGGGTGGTCAAGGTGTGTCTCCATGCTGCTGAGAGTAAGGCATCAGCAAGGGTGGCATGTCGTCATTGGACCCCATTTCAGTGGGGTCATCATCTCGTGGGATCCAGGTGTAAGAGCAGAGGAGCTCAGCATTTCCAGTGAGGACAGGAGGATGGGATGGGTTAGTATCAGTCTCCGATTGTTTGAGCTTGGAGAATTGTATGTCCTTTGTGATGACAATACAGTTGAGTTCTGGGAGCCATACTCGATGGCCCTTGACAGTGCATGGTGTGTCAGAGAAACCCAGGTATGTTCCATGGAGGGTGCATGGTCGAAGATGCTTGCTTGCTACCAAGTGATTGCAAAGCAGCCATTTCAATTGAGTGTTTCCCCAGAGTACAACATAGGTGATGCAACCAAAGTGCCACAGTTGGTGCAATTCAGGGTGTTTTTCATAGAAGAGCTCAAAAGGTGTGAGGTTTCTGCAAGTGGCTCCTGCTAGTTGATTGTGAATGAAAGCGGCTTGTGAAATGGCATATGGCCACCAACATTTGTTGAGGTTTGCATCATAAAGGATGCTTTGGGCGATCTTCTGTATGGTCTGAATTGCCCATTCAGTGAAGGCATTGTCCAAATGTTGTTGAGTTGGAGCAGCTTGTCATGGGCCTGGATGCTCAAGAAGCAGGAGGGTCATAGGTTCATATGGAAGGAGCACAGGTATCGAAGACCTAGTCGACACCAGTAGAGAGCATGGTCGTAGTGCAGTCTCCATGGAGACCATGGACTCCTATGGACTCACATGCAAAGGAGGGCCAAGCACAAGCCACGAAGAGGACCAAGCTCAAGGAGCATGCAGATGGTTACCATTCAGGGGCTCGAGAGACAAGAGCCAAAGGAACTGTCACTGATCAAAGGAGGAGGAGCAGTGTCGAAGGAGTCGACACCAGGTCATGAGGAGGAGGAGCAGTGTCGACAAGAGGCACAGGGGTGCTAAGCAGGAGAGGCCCCTGAGCAATACTCGATGAAGAAGGTACTCTCTAGAGAGAGAGCAGGAGCAGCATCGCGGGCAATGCTGTGAAGAGGTATATAACCATGCTTTCTCATCATCATAGGTCGAGTGGATCCCCATCCACTCTACTCACCATAACTAGTTATCACTTCAGCATAAGTATACATTAGTTTCAGTCAGCATAGCAGCAATCTATCAAGGTTGCTCCTCATCGTAGTGTGTGTGTTGTATCACCACTACCTGACGTCCGAAGGCGCCCATAGCAGGTTAGCGGTCCGGATATAGATAGAACCGAAGGCAGTAGTCCACTGCGGTCCGGGGATCACTTCAAGCATCAAGTCAACACACTGGACACTCGTGTTGACGCCACCAACCTTATCACCAACACCATCAACCTCATTATCATCGACATCACCAATCCCATCACCAACACCATCAACCTCATCATCATCAACACTCACACCAGACCTTGGTGTCATCATAACATTGATATCGATCGTGCCGAGCTACCCCTGAACGGAGTGTCCACAGAGGTCAGCCGAAACCTACGATAGTATATACAACGAACGCCACCTGCTGTCACTGCACAACTTGATAGTCACCGATACCGAGACAATAGCTGTCACACAGTTTGATAGTCACCGAGTATCTCGACGGACCGACCTGGGTTTCAGGAGCGAGACCCCTGACACAGCTGTGACTTTGATACCCATCAACAAGCAAAGGTTGTGGAAGGCATTAGACCATAGCTCTCCTTGGTTGATGCATACTTCCTTGAGTCCATGATTGAACACTACCTCTGATGGCACTTGGCAAGTGGCGACACAAATCTCAGCAAACCACCATGCTGCTTCTTGGGAAGCCTGGCTCTTACTCGCGAGACCTTGTGTCCAGATCATGCTAGAGTAGGCATCATGGATGATCAATACATATGTGAACTTGGTTGCACCATGTAAGGGACCCATGACATCCATCAAAACTAGCTCAAGTGGTGCCTCAACATGTCTTGGGTGGGTCAGTGTCCTGGTGGTGGCTTTGCTCTGGACACAGATGTTGCAGAGTGTATCAGAAGTGGGTGAGGATGATGGGATGTCATGGGTGAGGGTGACAGTTCTTGTATGCAGTGTTGCATCATGGCTAGCATGGCCCAGGCAGTGGTGCCATAGTACTGCCTTGTCTTGAGCTCTGCATTGCTGCCCTGGACCTGCTGTTTCAGCAGCAAAGGCAAGCGAGATAGCTGGTTTGGGCATACTGTCATCCCATATGAGCATGGCAGTGGTGGGGTAACTGTCTCCAGACATTGACACCTGAATGGCATGACCATGCTTGTCTTGCACTGTAATGAGTTCATTCTCAAAAATCACTTTACCCTGAGCATGTGTGACAGATTTGGTTCCAATGAGGTTTGTCACCAGATTGGGGACAAGGAGGCAATTTCAATATGTCATCTGCTCCCATCATTGCATCTTGGGACTAAAGCTCAGTAGACTGACTGTGCCTCCCATCTTAGATGCCCAGAGTAGTCTGCTGTTGGCAGTGGTAATATTAACTCCTCATTCCATGTCTTGCCAACCTTTCCCATAGTGAGTGCAATTGACCATGACACAAGATGTGCCAGAGTCAAACACAAATGGTACAAGCTGAGGTGGTAAGTTGATTGGTGCCAGCTCAACCTCTGTAAAGAAGGCCAAGACCAGCACTGCATCCTATTCTTCCCAAGAACTTGCAAGTGGTAGTACTATACAAGTGTTGGTGTGACATTTCAGTTGTGCCTTAACCTTGCCCTCTTTCCAGTGTGTGTGTGCCACATTGTTGGGACAACAATTGGCTGCATGACCCAGTTTGCCACATGCCCAACAGTTGATGAGAGTGGCGGCTCACAATGCAGTAAGTTTGGACTCTTCTGTCATGCAGTGATGGCTCATTGGGGTGATATCAGCAGCGAGTTTGTAACACTGGCAGAGGATGTCAGTGACACTTTCGACTGTCTGGTCTCTGCCATGGATCTTCTTGTGTAGAATGAACACAGAGTTGAACAGGGCATTTTGGTCTGAAGGGAGGGCTCGCTTGAGGGTCTTGTAGTGGTAGCCTGGTTTCCACAGGTCTTGTAAGTACTTGTGTAGCTCCGATACATGTGCCTCCCATTTAACAAGGAAGTTGTATGTGTGGCTTCCCACCTGGTCCCAGTGTAGATCAAGTGTCACCATGGATAGTTCATACTCTTTGGTGGTGGAATGTGCTTTGCATTTATTCACTGCCCAATTGAACAGATCCACAGTGATTGGTATTGGCTTGTCTCCATGCTCAGCAAAGTATTTGATACATAGCTTGTTAGAGAAGCTCCACATGATAATTGAGCTGAGTATTGAGTCAGCATCCTCAAAGGTAGTCATTTTTTGGTCTAAGACATTTTGTGCAAAAGGGATGATGGATAACATTGCAAAGACTTTGCATTGCCATGCATGCACAGAGACCACTCTTGGATCGAGAAGGTCATGTTCATCCCATCGCATCTTTTTGTTCAAGCTTGAGAGGGTCTTGAGATGATGGTTTGTGATTGCACTAAGTTCAGGAGTGGGACCTGGCATAGCATCACAACCAATCAGGCAATGGTTGGTAACATTTGGAGCATATGGAAGGTTTGGGTTGAAGACGGGAGTGTTGCTTCTAGCCAAAGCTAGGGCTTCGCTCTTAACTGGATTGGATTGTTCTGTATTCTGGATGGACTCAACTGAGCCTTTGATCTTGAGGTCAAGTATGTGATTGGCATCCCAACCTTCGTTGGCTAGGAAGAGAATCACTCTAGCTCACATTCCTCTACCAAGTTCAGTTCCACTAGTGAATGGACTGAGACTGTGCATTGCTTTATAAAGGTTACTGGTACACTTGATCAGAATGGATAGGGGTGAGATGATTTGCTCCCCATCACTTTCTTCCATGGCATACTTCAGTAGTAGGCCATCTTTTGGGGTGATAGGAGTGCCATAGGTGGCATTTGCGATTTCCTGATTGAACCAGTTTTGGAGGATCTTTGGCAATCATGGCAGAAGGTCCTGTATAGCTTCGATGAAGTCATCATAGTTTGAATAGTTTAGATTTGACATATTGGTGGCAAAACCTCTTGTTGATGTTGCTGATAGTGCGATGGTAGTATATCAGCTTATTGGGCTCATAACCTGAAAGAAACTTGAGTCATTTTGGTCCCAATACTGGTGATCAGGGAGAGTCTAAGTATGATGTCACTGCTAGTTTATAGACAGAACAAAATATACTCAATTGACTAGATAGCATTGTGAGGACCTAGTGTCCCCAGTTCAATATATATACAACTGTGTGATGAGTGATGAATGTGGGTGTATCTCCCTTCATGATATAGTATAGCAATGAGTGGAACTGCATTGCACCTGATCTCCAAGTTGATCCATCCCACATGATCTCCAATTGCATTTGAAATAATTTACATAATCATGTCTGATCGTTCTCTTCGTCAAATTAATGTGCGACAGGCTAAAGTAGGCGGCTTTAGAGGTCCTGCGTCTACTTGTGTACAACAATGGTAGAATGACAAGGTTAAAAACCAAGAGAAGCACGCAACTCCTCCTCCAAACTGGAATCTTCTCCCACATTTGGCCCTGCTGCTGTTGCATCTGTGTCTGTCGCAGTCTTCTTTGTAACGCTCTCCAAAAATCCTTTGACTCCATGCTTTGTCGGATGGTACTCCAACCCCATCTCTCCCAACTCCTTTTTACACTTCTCGCATACACAAGGACCGAAACAGTAATCTCGGTATAACAACAACTGTCTTCTACCTAACCTTGTACTTGGGTCGATATAACTGATTAGCAATTCCTCTCCCTTCCTCACTGGCCTCAAAGCCAAAGCTGCAATCTTCATACTTGCCAAAATCCCGCGTTCGGGTACGTGACGAATTTGAACATTAGGCGAACAAGAATGATTGAGGAAAGAATGGATACTGTAAAGACCGCCGAATTTTTCCATGTTGATGTTGGCTCGACCTAGGAGTTTGAGGAATGTGGGGAAATCGAAGAGGTCCTTGAGCTGGCCTTTGCGAGATTTGACGCTTTCGATGAGGTCGATGCGGATGTGGTGTGGTTCGTGGTTGGGGTTGGTGGAGCGAGAGGTGACGCGCGATTCGTGGTATGGGTCGAGAGCGGCGCGGAATACAGAGTGGGCTTCGGCGAGAATGGCCTCGAAGGAGGTTTTTTCGGTTGCCCAGCCTGGGTTACGGGATCTTCGTTCAAGTTCAGAAACGGTCGCGAAGGAGGAAAGACGGCTGAAGACAGTTTCAAAGTGGCCGTATTCTTTGAGCAGGTCATCTTCGTCTACTGCGTTCTTGGATGTGGTCCGGGAGGTTGGCACAGTGCTGTGCGGTGTAAGCGTGGACAGCAAGCGAGCGGTCGAGCGTGCAGCACAATGAAGACTCTGCCATTTCTGCGACTGGATCAAATCCATCAACGGCGTAGCAGAAGGGTTGATGCTGGTACACAGCAGATTATGGTGCGTGGCCATAGCTGTTCGATGACATCCACTTGTGCAGAAGCGATATTTGCATTTGGGGCAGTTCTTGATCGCCAAAGCTACCGGTGCTGATGAGACAGGCAAGAAGCACTGGCCACACAGCTCTCCTCTGAGAATCTGATCCAGCGCCTCTGGTGGTGGTGTAGCGATATAGGCTTCCTCTGTGAATAACAACTCGCCTTCAGCAAAGTCTCGTTCCGCTACCAAGCCTTTACCCTTCACCGCATCAAAGTACTCTCCATAGATACCGGCAGGCATGTCGACGCTAGCATCGATGAATGATTTGGGTACGACATGATCTGTCTTTGACTTTTTCTTCTTCTTGCTAGCTGATGAGGAGGCAATGCCGGTGCTGGTGCTATCGCTTGCAGCTGCGTTTCCGTTAGCAGCCGTAGTTGGTTCGGTGATGAGATTGTTCCTTGTCAGGACAGACTGGAATTTCTTGGCCGAGACATCGCTCCAGTCATTCTCGAGTTCGAGTGTGGCGAGAAGGCGTGCGAGGTCAGATTGTTGGAGATCGGATGTGCCGTTGATTTTCGCTTTGACCGCATCGACAATCTGAGCTTCGGAAGGGGCGACCATTGCGATGCGGCTGTTCGATGCCGAGAGGCCGATCAATTGTAATCCAGTGTGCTGAGATTGGGTAGGCGTTGTATATTGCAGCAAAGATGAAGAACTTGCTTGATGCAACCAGCTGTCGTGTGCTCGAGCGCTGTTCTCAAATTCTTCGTGTTTCGGATGATCCGAAACGCAATTCTTCCTGCGCTGCAACTTTGATTTTCTCGGCTCAGCTCCGCCATTGGGAATTTCCCACCTTCCCAAGTCCCAACCCTTGCTTCTTTTCTCCAGGCATCACATCAAAGTGCCACCGTCACGAAAACATTCACAATCTTGAATTAAGATTTCTAGAGCATGAGAACTACTACTACAAGAGGAAGACGTAACAATGCGGGACTTTTATTTTGGATGAGGATGTGCAGAAGCATGACCACAATGGCCAGCCTGTGCTTGTTGCTCGGAGATCCTGCAGACATCCATACCGACCTTTGCTGGATTCAGCAGATATGCATGTCTTGCAAGCTACTTCACTCAAGAAGGGCCCTAGTTAATCCTGTCCGATGTGTAGGCACCGAGTGGGAAATGATAAGAGAAGAAAGCGTTGCGGATTAGTCTTGAGATGCGGAGAAAGTATGGCGTCATCACTCGTTGCTTACCCAACCAGCGTTGCCATCAGCCTCCTCAGCCTTATTCTCCTCGCCAGCGTCGACAGCATTTTTGTTTCCGTTGGCAGCCTCGTCCATAGCCTCGTCCTTGGGAGCTGCTTCCTCAGCATCCTTGCCATTGGTAGCGCTGTCGCCGTTCCCGTGGCGCTGTTCCCTGTCAGCGTCATCGTCACGACGCGAAGAGCTTCTGCGGTCCTCAGCGTAGTCAGCATCATTGTCACGTCGAGGTTCAGGCGAACGCTCACGACGAAGTGCTGCACGTCTGCGGGCACGTTCCTCAGCTGAGCGGTCGGCCTCCTCCTGCTCCTCAGCGGTGAGCTTGGGACGTGGAGGAGGAGGAGGAAGATCGGAGCGTGAAGAGCCACGGTCATCGCGAGAGTCACGACCACCGCGACCGCCAAATGCAGGAGGAGGAGGAGGAGGAGGGCCGCGAGAAGGACCGTCGAATCTCCAGTTGGCCGACGGAGCGTTCTTTGCAAACTGAATCGAGATCTCGTGGCGTCCGAATCGCATACCGTGCATATCGCGGAAAGCGGCATCCGCATCTCTTGGGTCCTCGAATTCAACGAAAGCATAAGGAGTTGCACTGGTCGACTTGAGTGCTGGGATATCGCATCGAATCAAGGGTCCCATGCGCTCGAATTCGTACGCCAGGTCCTTAGCTCGCATGTTCGGGGGGAAGCCGGCGACAAAGAGAGTAGTGGGTGGTGCGCGGTCTCGGCTGTCGCGACCGCCACGGGGTGGACGGTCAGCGCGGCCACCTCGTCGGTCATCGCGATCGTCACGGTCGTAACCTCGGTCGTAACCTCGTCCGGACATGCTTGGCAAAGTCGTAGGGGTTAGTCGATCGTTCTTTCGAAGCTGGGCTGTCAAAGATTGCGCTGTGACAAGTTCTAACTGTCTGCGATCTGGTCGATCGTAGTGAGGCAGATATCAAAAAAGAGAGATCGTAACCGCTCGGATGGTGTGGTGGGAGGGGAAAGAGGAGGTAGAGCTGAGCTGCACGTTGTCTGTTGGATTGCAGCTGGCCAAGTTTTCGCGTTTCAGAAGAACTTCTCCACAGCTTCTTGTGCGGAAGACGGTTGGATCTTTGACTTGGATTAGAGTCTATAGCAGTCTCATTCATTTCATCTTTCACCGCAGCCGCTCAGCCAAGGTCGAAACGGGATTGAACCGCAGAAGAGCGTGAATGTGGCACGGCCTGGTCGAAAATGAAAAAATGAATTTAAATTGCGGAAAGCGCACTAAGGGGGTATCAAAGTTTTTGCGATTTTAAAAACGCGGGTTTTTTGAAAAGCGCGTTTTTGGAGGGAATTAGTTGAAGATAACAATTAATACACGGCGTTATCAGGGTCACGATCAGACTCCCTTTACCACAGCCATATGTTCTATGTAATGCTTAGTTTTCGTAGTGTGAACCTAAATGACAAACACATATATATACTCCATTCGCCACTCTAGTCCTATCCAAGACAGGATGTGTCACTTCATTCATACTCCTATGTTTCTATGATACTGAGTGCCACTGAGCTGTCACCATGACAACAATCATGTACCTCATTGTGCTTCTCACTTAAGTAAGCCTCCTGTGCCTCAGTGTCTCGGCCGTGACATGTGCATCTTGCTTGAGATGCTGACACATCTTCAACTCCCCCCTTTGGCAGGATCTCCAGCCCTATCATCCTAGCCAATCATGAGGTGTTGAGACCCTGTAAAGGTTTTGTCAAGACATCTGCAATGTTGTTTGCTGTTCTGACATGTTTGATTGCCACATTGCCCTCTTGCACATGATCATGGACAAAATGATACTGTGTGTTGATGTGCATTAACTTCCAATGTTTGGCTGGATCTTTACTCACCTGCATGCACCCCTGGCTATCAGTGTATAGTATGGGCCAAACGTCCATGATCTCCAAGTCCTGGAGCAAATATGAGAAGAACAATGCTTCTTGCACTGCTTCGGAAGTGGCAATGAACTCTGCTTCGACTGCTGACAATGCCACACATTTTTGAACATGAGACTTCCAACTCAATGGACATCCATACACATATGTTATTGACCCCAAGGTGCTCCTTTGTCCATTTGTGGGGTCAGATGCCCAGTTTGTGTTGGTATACATCATTACCAGTGTATCTGAGTGCTAATTTGTCTCCCCTCCTAAGTGCAACTGATATCCATTCATCTGGTTCAGGTACTTTACCATGTGAATGGCTGCCTTCTGTCAGGGGTCTCGCGCCTGATACCCAGGTCGGTCCGTCGAGATACTCGGTGACTATCAAACTGTGTGACAGCTATTGTCTCGGTATCGGTGACTATCAAGTTGTGCAGTGACAGCAGGTGGCGTTCGTTGTATATACTATCGTAGGTTTCGGCTGACCTCTGTGGACACTCCGTTCAGGGGTAGCTCGGCACGATCGATATCAATGTTATGATGACACCAAGGTCTGGTGTGAGTGTTGATGATGATGAGGTTGATGGTGTTGGTGATGGGATTGGTGATGTCGATGATAATGAGGTTGATGGTGTTGGTGATAAGGTTGGTGGCGTCAACACGAGTGTCCAGTGTGTTGACTTGATGCTTGAAGTGATCCCCGGACCGCAGTGGACTACTGCCTTCGGTTCTATCTATATCCGGACCGCTAACCTGCTATGGGCGCCTTCGGACGTCAGGTAGTGGTGATACAACACACACACTACGATGAGGAGCAACCTTGATAGATTGCTGCTATGCTGACTGTAACTAATGAGTACTTGTGTTTCTAAAGTATTGACTAGTTGTATGGTGAGTAGAGTGGATGAGGATCCACTCGACCTATGATGATGAGAAAGCATGGTTATATACCTCTTCACAGCATTGCCAGCGATGCTGCTCCTGCTCTCTCTCCAGAGAGTACCTTCTTCATCGAGTACTGCTCAGGGGCCTCTCCTGCTTGGCACCCCTGTGCCTCTTGTCGACACTGCTCCTCTTCCTCATGATCAGTGACAGTTCCTTTGGCTCTTGTCTCTCGAGCCCCTGAGTGATAACCATCTGCATGCTCCTTGAGCTTGGTCCTCTTCGTGGCTGTGCTTGGCCCTCCTTTGCATGTGAGTCCATAGGAGTCCATGGTCTCCATGGAGACTGCACTACGACCATGCTCTCTACTGGTGTCGACTAGGTCTTCGGCACCTGTGCTCCTTCCATATGAACCCATGACCCTCCTGCTTCTTGAGCATCCAGGCCCATGACACCTTCCATGCACTGTTGATCAGGATCAACATGTATCACAACAATATGCCAATGGCAAAGGCAATATCTGGTCAGGCTGTGTTGGAGACCCATAATAGTTGGCCAACCAACTCTTGATACTTCTTTGCTCACTGAGGTTCACATCTCTTGCCTCCAGTGATGTTCACTACACTCAGCATGGGTACCCAAGATTTCTCATTTGCTCCTCCTAAGCATTTGTTCACCATTTCTTTGATGTATGCTGTTAGACCCAGAGATATCTTCCTCTGTCTTCTATCACATGTGATCTTGATACCCAGAAATTCTTTGATCCCTCCATTGTCTTGCATCTCCCATTTGTCCATGATCTCTCACTTAGTGTGGTCTACTTCATCACAACTGGGTGATGTTATCAGCATGTCGTCCACATATGCTGTAATGATTGTGATCTTGTCGCCTGTCCCTCTTGAGTATAGGCATGGTGTGCTCAGCATGCAATGAAATCTGATCATCCAGAGATGTGAGTCTAACTCAATGTTCCATTCTCAGCCTGATTGTTTCAGACCATACAGTCCTTTCACTACCTTCAACACTTTTCTGGGTGGTATTTTGATTCCTACTGGGGGCTTTAGATATACATCATGGTGTATAGTGGAGTTCAGGTATGCTTGCTTTACATCAATAGAGTCTATTTCCCAATCTTGTATTGCTGCAACAGCAATCACCCCTCAAATGGATTGGTTGGGTGCTACTGGTGTGAAGACCTCTGTGTAGTTGATGCCCTCATGTTGGGTGAAACCTCATGCCATGAGCCAGGCTTTGAACTTTGTTGGCACAAGGTTCACATCGGTTTTGATCTTGAGTACCCAACGCATGTTGATGGTGTTTGCACCCTTCAGGAGGTTGACAATCTCCCACATGCCCATCACTTCTAATCCATCCAGCTCCTTTCACATGGCCTCCTCCCAGTGCTTTCTGTCTTCTCCACTCATTGCTTCATGTATGGTTGGGTCCAGGTTCTTTCTGTCAGGGGTCGCACACCTGAAACCTGAGATCTGTGGTAGTATTGATACTATCACCAATTCTGTCGAGTTATGTGACAGTGCTAATGGTATTTCGATTCCTAGTGAAATATGCAACAGAGCCGTCTCTGCCGCTTTTCTTGTTGGAATCTGTAGTTGTATTGACATTATGACAGATTTTGACTGACCACTGTGGACACTCTGTCCAGAGGTAGCTCAGCACGATCAAACTATGATATGACTCTAAGTGAACTTGATGTTGCCACCAATGGTCTGGTGTGAGTATGGATTGATGACACCAACACGAGTGTCCAGTATGTCGACTAATGCTTGAAGTGATCCCTGGACCGCAGTGGATGACTGCCTTCAGTTCTATCATTATCTGGACTGCTGGTTTGCTAAAAACTGCCTTTGGATGTCAGGAAATGGTGATACAACACATGCACTTCGATGAGGAGCAATCTTCTGATTACTACTATACTGACTATAACTAATGATACTTATGCTTAAAGTAATACTAGTTGTTTATGATATGAGTAGAGTGGATGGGGATCCACTCGACCATTTGTGACAAGAAGGTATGACTATATATCTCTTCGCAGCATCGCCAGTGACACTGCTCCTGCTCTCTCTCTCCAGAGAGTACCCTCTTTGTCGAGTACAGTACAGGGATCCCCAAGGAGGCCCCTCCTCCATATCGAGCCTTGTCCCTCCTGTCTTTCCTGAGCTGTGTTGTCTTCATCGACACTGCTCCTCCTCTGCATGTCCCTCTTGCCAGTGTCCTTTACACAGCTCTCCTTCCTTTGACCAGCAATGGTTCTCTTTTACTCCTGTCCTGTGGGCCCCTGAGTGGTAACCGACCGTGTGTCACTGAGCTCGGTCCCTCTTGTGTGTGAATCATCATACAGACATCCTTACTACCGATCTCCATGGAATCTGCCACATGATCTCGCTTGCTGCAGATTCTGGTGGGATTCATGATATCGACGATGCTCATGCCAATTTTGCTGCGATCTGCCATAGAGCTGATTCTACTGCCAATCTCGGTGAACTCTGTCGCAGCTCCTACGATCTACCCGATTCCACGATTCCTGTGCTACCTTCATATCATTTCGGCCTTCCCTCGCTCTGCGCAGCTTAGGCCCGTGACACTTTCTCCATTCCAGTCGTGTCGATGCTCAAGAAGCAGGAGGGTCACTGGTTCATATGGAAGGAGCACAGGTATCGAAGATCTAGTCGATACCAGTAGAGAGCATGGTCGTAGTGCAGTCTCCATGGAGACCATGGACTCCTACAGACTCACATGCAAAGGAGGACCGAGCCATATGCGAGGAGGGCCAGGCACAGTCACGAGGAGGACCAAGCTCAAGGAGCATGCAGATGGTTACCACTCAGGGGCTCGAGAGACAAGAGTCGAAGGAGTCGACACCAGGTCATGAGGAGGAGGAGCAGTGTCGAAGGAGGAGGAGCAGTGTCGAAGGAGGAGGAGCAGTGTCGAAGGAGGAGGAGCAGTGTCGAAGGAGGAGGAGCAGTGTCGAAGGAGGAGGAGCAGTGTCGAAGGAGTCGACACCACTCAGGAGGCACAAGGGTG